AGGAGGAGGGGGAGGAGGGGGAGGAGGAGGAGGAGGAGGAGGGAGGCCGGCCTCCTGCAGGGAGGCCGCCTCCCCGCGCGCCCCGCGTGCGCCCCCCGCGCGCCCTCCTGCCCCGCTGGCGCCCGCCGCCCGCCTCGGCTCTCGGGCTCTCTCCCTGCCCTGCGGCGTCGCTCGGGCGCGTGGGCTCCTGGCCTTTCTGTTCTCGGCGGGGGTCCCCCGGGGAGCCCTCCTGGATCAGCCCCGCGCGAGGCGACAGATCAGGGCACGACGCCGAACGGTGCACGGGGAAGGACGTCTGCTCTCTCTCTCTCTCTCTCTCTTTCTCTCTCTTTCTCTCTCTTTCTCTCTCTTTCTCGGCGAGGACCACCGGTGACCCCCCTGGATCATCCTCGTGCGCAGCGACAGATCAGCGCACGACGCCGAACGGTGCACGGGGAATGACGTTTGCTCTTTCCCTTTCTCGGCGAGGACCACCGGGGAGCCCTCCTGGATCATCCTCGTGCGAAGCGACAGTGATATGCGCACGAGGCCGAAGAGTGCACGGGGAATGTCGGCGGCGAGCGAGGGGGGGAAGTGAGAGGGGGCGGGCCTTCTCAGAAGGCTCGGAGGTCCCCCGGCCTCCTGAGAAGTTGTCAAAGCCTTCCCCGAGGACGCAGAATACTTCTCAGAAGGCCAGGCGGGGGCTTCTGAGGAGCCCCGCCGCCTTCTGAGACGGCCTGCTCCTGCTGGTTTCCCCCCCCCTCGCCCGCCGCCGACAGAAAAGAGCGCGTCGACGCCGAGCAGTGCACGGGGAGAACCGACCGTCCCGGCATTCCTATAGGCCTACCACGAAATTTTCTTGGAACCCAAGAACGTTCCAAGAACAATAACACTGTTTTTATAACATAAGCCTGATGTGTCAAAACACGACAGCCCCAGCCAGACATCTTCCAAGAACGAATGGTTCTTAGAACATTGGTTGGCAGGCCTATCGTCGAGCTAAGACGCTTCGCCACTGCTCCACAACGGGCGTCCAAGCGACGGCAGGGGCTCGGGGACTTTGTGGGCCCCGGAAACGGCAGGGCCGTCTTTTCACCGGTCCCCAAAAAATGTTATCCTTTGAAAGTGGGAACGGTATATATATATATATAAATATAAGAAAAAACAGCAAAACGGAACCGGTAACAAAAACTCGCTTCCAGGGCCCATGGAGCCCGGGGAGACGCCGGCCGCGCCCCCCCCCCAGCTGTTCAGCGAGCACGAGGAGGCGCGCCACATGTGGTGGGTGGTGCAGGGGCCCTCCGCCCGCCCGCCCCCGCCGCGGCCTCCCTCTCGGGCACGGGGAGGGAGGGAGGGAGGGAGGGAGGAGGGAGGAGGGAGGGAGGGAGGGAGGGAGGGAGGGGGGAGGAGGAGGAGGAGGAGGAGGAGGAGGAGGAGGAGGAGGAGAGAGGAAAAGGAGAGGAAGGAGGGAGGCGAGAGGAGGGGGGCGGAGGAGGCGGAGGAGGAGGAGGAGGAGGAGGAGGGCGGAGGAGGCGGAGGAGGGAGGAGGAGGGAGGGAGGGAGGGAGGAGGAGGGCGGAGGAGGCGGAGGAGGCGGAGGAGGAGGAGGAGAAGGAGGGAGCGTCTGCGCCTCGCCGCGAGAGCGTTCCGGGGGTGCCCGGATCGTCCCGACCGGCCACCGCAGAGCCGAGTTCTGACCCAAAAGCCAAATTCTCGGCGTGCGTGCCTGGGGACTGTGGGCGGACCGAGGTTTCAGATCGAGGTCGGTTCGGAGAGGGTGTCACAGATCGAGGTTCGGATCGAGGGTGCCACAGTTCGAGGTTCGGATCGAGGTTCGGGTCGAGGTTCGGATCGAGGTTCAGATCGAGGTTCGGATCGAGGTTCGGGTCGAGGTTCTGATCGAGGTTCGGGTCGAGGTTCGGGTCGAGGTTCGGAGAGGGTGCCAGTTCAGGAGAGAGAGAGAGAGAGAGAAAGAGAAGGACGCACACGTATTTGAACCCGTGTTGGCTTCGGAAGTACGTATTGCGCGAATGTTCGTATCACGCGGCCGGTCTCGCGGATCGAGAAGCCGTGTTCATGTACATAGTTGGGCGCGTACGTCTTCTTCGGGCTCCCTACGAGTGTTCTTCGTGCTCGTTGGATGTTCTTCTGCATCCTGGGGAGGGTACCCTTGGCTGCTCTGTTTGTTCTGGCCGACGGAGGGTATCGTGTTCTTGAGGGATGCTCTTCTGGCCCAGGTCCGACCTTAGTGGGCCCCGGAAACGGCAGGGCCGTTTTTTCTCAGTTTCCTAACAAGTGTCCCTTGAACATGGAAACGGCAAAACAACGGCGACCCGAAACGGCACCAAGAACGGCTCCAGGAGTGGAACCGGAGCGGGAACCGGTCAAAGAACGGCGACGGAACCGGTAACAAAAACGGCGTCGGAACCGGCAACAGAAGCGGCAAAGCGGAGCCGGTAACAAAGCGGCTTTGTCGTTGCCAGGGCCCACGAAGGGTCCGACTGTTATGTTTCGGCAACGCGCAGAGGGGGGTAGGGGGAGGGGGGAAGGTTTCTTAGAAGCACCCCTGCTTCTTAGAAGGCGCGGGCCTTGTCTACAAATGTAAGGCCGGCACCTTCTAAGAAGCAGCCTCCTTCTAAGAAGCCTTCCCCCCTCCCCCTACCCCCCTCTGCGCGCCGCCAAGATGTCCGCGAGGACCTTCGGCAGATTCCAGGCATTCGAGCAGTGGCGAAGCGTCCTGGCTCGCCTATATAGCCCGACCAAGCAGTGTTCTAAGAACTTCTTTTGTGGTTTTCACGGAATGTTCTCAGAGCATTTCTGGCGGAGTTTGTTTGGTTTTAAAACATCGGGTTGATGTTCTAAGAACATTGTTTGGGTTCTTAGAACATACTTGGGTTCTAAGAACATTTCGTGGTTGAACTATAGGAATGCCCGGACGGTCGGTCCCTGCTCAAGTCATGTCGTTAGTTCGCCTTTCATGAAAGAGCATGATGCGCATGAGGAGGACATGGGTTGGTGCAGGGTTGGGAAGGGTAGGATAGCGGCCATGGGGCTGGCAGGGGAAGAGTTGGGGGGCAGGTGTGCGACTTGTCACTGGCGCGTGAATGGGCATTGCCGTGTGTGTTTATTGTTGAGCTCCTCGCTCGTCTGCCCCCTTTCGCGTTCGTGTCAATCTGTGGCCGATCGTAGTCTGTATCAACATGAATGCAGCCTCACTGTGAACGTACATGTTTCTGATTTGCGTCGCACATCGGCGTCCTCGTCCTGCCTCCGTGTTCTGTTTCCCACGGGCTGCCCGACAGACTCCTCTTGCAGTGCGCGGTTCACGGCTGCGGCGCTCTCGGGTGCCGTTGGCCGTGCGGTCTCCAGGATGTCGAGCCAAGGATGCTGGAAGTTGGCGCCGCGTCACGCTGTGGGCGGGGGGAGTTCAGCCTGTAGGGGGCCACATGTGAACCCTACCCCTACCCCCCACGATTTTTGAGGGGGAGGGTGGGGTTCACTTCGCTCGGGAACTCTCGAACAAAGTGAACCCCACCCTCCCGCTCAAAAATCGTGGGGGGTAGGGGTAGGGTTCGCATGTGGCCCCCTAGCCTGTTCGTGTGCCGTTGGGCAGTCCAGCGGGTCCCCTTCCCACGCGCATCCATGGGAGAGACCTCACCTCTCTGGGTGCCGACAGGCACGCAACTCCCGGTATTCCCTGCGCTTTTGACGGGTCCAGCGGGTCCCCATCTGTTTCGGCGGCGAGCGAGGGCCAAGGGGCCCACGGACGTGGCGACAGTGCCGCAGTTCGCAGCCTCCGAGGGAGCAGCGAGGTCTCAACTCCATCTGCGCTGCCCTCACCTACGCTCCAGGAGCCCACGAAAGTGGCGACAATTGCGCAGGGCCCCGGGGGAGCCGCGAGGTCTCGAGGTGATCTGCGTTGCCCTCACCTACGCCGTGCTATCCAGTAGCCCACGAAAGTGGCAACAATTGCGCAGTTCGCAGCCCCCGAGGGAGCCGCGAGGTCTCGAGGTGATCTGCGTTGCCCTCACCTACGCCGTGCTATCCAGTAGCCCACGAAAGTGGCAACAATTGCGCAGTTCGCAGCCCCCGAGGGAGCCGCGAGGTCTCGAGGTGATCTGCGTTGCCCTCACCTACGCCGCGCTATCCAGTAGCCCACGAAAGTGGCCACAATTGCATACTTCGCAGCCCCCGAGGGAGCCGCGAGGTCTCAAATGGATCTGCGCTCGCCTCCGCCGCGCCTCCCTCCTAGGAGCCTACGAAAGTGGCGACAGCGCCGCAGTTCACAGCCCCCGAGGGAGCCGCGAGGTCTCAAAGTGATCTGCGCTGCCCTCAGCTCCGGTGTGCCTCCCAGGAGCCAGCGAAAGTGTCGACAGATGCGCACTGCCCCACCCAAGTGGGACAGCTGCGAGGAAGGGCGAAGGCAGGCGGCAGGAGGATGGGGATAGGAGGAGGAGGAGGAGGAGGAGGTGGGTGGAAAGAGGACTGGAGACCACAACACTCTAACCTGGTCAGCAACTAGGAACCCCACTTTCGGGTTAATCGATAGCACAGCCACCACCTTGAAGCGTTATCCTGTCACCCTGGCACTTCCCTGTTGCTTTGGCACTCCTCTGGAACGGTGGAGAGAAAGAGATGAGGAGGATGAAGAAAAGGCGGCGACAAGGCACGAATTTCGATCGAAGGAAGGAACAGGAGTAAGGACTTGCGGTCGGAGGGGGGGGGCAACCATTTTTTACTCATTGCGGCATGGTGCGGTGCTAAGGATATCGTTCCGCTGACCCGCCGCCACGTATTGTTTTATCTGTTTTCGTTTCGGTGCTGACGATGACCCAGGGGGGCTCAATCTTGCTTCACTATCAGGAGGGAAGGGAACACACAGACACAATTAATCGTCGACTCCCCGGAAAATATGAGCAATTATGGGAAGTGGGGGGTCAGACAGAAACCCAAAAGATCTGGGAAAATATGGGGATATTTTTATTTGTGTGTATTTATTTGTGTGTCTTGGGGCCCCTTCACACTAGGCTATCCACATCGAGAACCCAACACAGAGATCGTCCTGGCCCGCCCCCTGCCCGTAGGCACCGTCACGCGCTGGCGTCTCCAGAGGCGCCGCCGACCTCGTCGGCCCAGGAACGCTTCCGGTGCGTGCAGCCGCGCAGCTCTGCGGCCCGCAGGGCCGAGGACGTCCGTGCCCCGGTGCCGCATTGGAGCAGGGCCTCTCGGGGAGTGCAAATTCGGGAGGAGAAAAAACACACAGACACAACGAATCGTCGATTCCCAGGAGAATGTGGGAAAATGTGGGAAGCGGGGGGGAAGACAGACACCTGGAACATCTACGAAAATATGGGGTATCCTGTTATGTGTGTGTATGTATTTGTGTGTCCCAGGGCCCCTTCACAGACGGCGCGGCGCACGAGCGCCGCTCTCGCGGCCTCTTCCCAACCACTCGATGGGGCGGCCTCCGCTCATCCGAGCACGGCACCCGCGCCCGCGCCTGTGCCGCACCCGCCCCGGGGGAGGAGGCGGAGGGCGGAGGAGGAGGCGGAGGAGGAGGAGGAGGAGTAGGAGGAGGAGGAGGAGGAGGAGGAGGAGGAGGAGGAGGGAGGAGAGGGATGCTGAGCTGGCAGGCTCCAGATCAAACACCCAGAGGCTTCGAGTCAAGGAGCAGAGCGTCTCCCCCCCGACCGCGCCAGCGCGCTCTCCTACCGCTACAAGCACGAGCCCCTGGAGGTGAACTCCAAGGAGTGGATCGGCGAGGCCGGGGCTCGGGCGCTTCGCACGGCGTCGGCGTCGGCGTCGGCGTCGGCGTCGGCTTCGTCGTCGTTGCCGTGGTCGCTGCCGTCGTCGTCGTCGTCGTCGCCGTGGTCGTCGGCGTCGGCGTCGGCGTCGGCGTGCGGCACCGGTGAGGACGGCCTGGTGGCCCTCGGTCGGAGAGCGAGGGCCGCCAAGGCCGAGTGGGCGACGTTCGGGGCCTCACGCTGAGGGGGGCGGGGGCCGGGGCCGCTGCGCGGAGGGCGCGCAAAGGCCGGAGGCGGGGGCGGCCGAGCCGAGCAGGGCTGGCGGGAGGACGGGCGGCGCCGAGGCGCCGAGGAGCTGAGCTGCGCGCGCGCGCCCACTGCACGCGCGTGGCTCAGCCTCGTGGGACCGAGGTGGGCGGCCCGCGAGGCACCGTCCAAGAACGTCCAAGCACGTCGTCGTCGGCGTCGGCGTGGTCGTTTGTCGTCGTCGTCGTCGCCGGCGACGTCGGCGTCGGCTGCGTCGGTGTCGGCTGTGTCGGCGTCGGCGTCGACGTCGTCATCGTCGTCTTCGTCGGCCGCTCCTGGCACGCCCCACGAGCCAGGGAGAGGGGTCCGTCGCCGATGCAAGACGTTCGCGCGGACATTTGAACGTTTATGTTTATGCAGTGTTTTCGTCTTCCGCTCCCGTTTACGCCCCTCCCTCGATCCTTGCTAGCCCTGTTCGATTGTTTCTTGATGTGCGTCTGTTCGCAGTCTTGCCCTGCTCGATTCCTTCCTGGGGTGCGTTTACTCAAGGGCTTCGCTTGCAGGGGTTGTTTAGCGTAAGGGTGGCTAATATGATTTCTGTCCTCCCCTCACCCTCCCTTCCTCTGTCCCTCCGCCATGTTCCTCGTCCTCCTCATCCTTCCTCTTTGCTTTCCATGTGCCCTAAGTGTCTCCACCTCCGTCCACAATTACGTAACACTGATCCAACACGAGCACGTACTGCTCTCATCCCTTCATATTATGTGATTATGTGCCATTGGGGCCGCTTGTATCCCGCACGTTCGCGCATGATTCCAAACACTGATCTGTTGAGTGTTTGTTCGATAGGGACGCCTGTGGCTGTTCAGCATGGCGTTCCTGCTGCAGCGTTTGCTTCGTTGCAGGATCGACGCGTTGCTTCCGTCGCTCGGAATGGCTCCTTTCTTTTTGATGTTCCAACCTACTTTAGCCTTGATCACCAGAAATAATGTCGAGCGCCAGAAAAGTACATAAAAAAACTTGAGGGTTTTCACGTGCCGGGCCCTGGGGGACACTGTTTCGACACTCTTTCGACACTCTGTCGACACTCTTCCGGGTGCTCGAAATCATGTCTGGGATGTGGTCCTCTTAAGTACGGTGGGAGCAACCTAACCCTTTCTCCGCCTTTCCCTGGCTCTTCCTCTCGAGGTCGTGGCCCCTGCCGTCGCGTGCACCCTCAGGAGGGGGCGGCTCCCCCGCGCGAGGCGTGCAGTTTTCGTGAGATCAGCCAGGGGAGGCCACGCGCGGCCGCGCCGCGGACGCCTCAAAGAGCAGCCCCTGTGGTCCTCCCGCTCCTCCCTTTGGAGTGTCGCCCTATGACTGCTAACGCGAGGGCATAACAAAAACGCCCCGACCTTGGTTCACGAGGCGCCGTGCGCTGAAACTCCCGTGGGCTGGCAGGGTCATCCCTGCGTGACGTGCCGCACGAACGAGATGGGCACGGTAATAATGGGCACGGAAAGAATGGGTACGGAAAGAATGGGTACGATGCCCAACAGCAGCTCCTGATCATTTTGAACAGGACTCGCTGTCCGCGCCGCCGCGGCCTGTGCCCATTCGAGACAGAAGGCCGCCTGCCCAACAGCGGCCGCTGTTGGTTTGGGACAACATTTGTTGTTGGGCATTGTGTCCATTCTTTCCGTACCCACTTCGGGCGTCCAAATATGATTGCTAAAGGCGAGCAGAATTTGAGAAGACTGGGCTCAGGCAAGTGGCACCATCCGAAAGGGATGCCCACGGCGGTGCGGGAGGCACTGGCCTGGAGGGAAGGGTGCCGAGCCCGCGTTCGTGCTGCTGCCTCTGCCGCCGCCGCCGCTACTACCCCCTGGATTAAAAAGTCCGGATCGGCACTGCAGGCCCCCTTGCATCGTCGCTCCCCGAGGGGTAAACATGACTGGCAAGAAGTACCAAGCAGAATCGCACCTTCCAAGCAACATAACTGGGACCGGAAATTTATTTGCGAGGAAGTCCCAAGCGAAATCGCCAATTTCCCGGTCGCCACTGAGAATTTCCGGTCGCTTGAACAGCGCCCGGATTTTTTTTTGAGGAAGTATTGGGCGGAATGCGGATTTCCGGTCGTCACCCCATTTTGCGATTATAATATTAGAGGGGGTGAGGATGGACCGGAAATTTAACCGTGGCGGCCCCTGCAACATTGTACCGGGGCCCCGTGGCCTAACGGGAGCCGAACAACAAGGCTGATTCCCCGACCTCTGCGGTCCGGACTTTTTATTCCAGGGGGTTGTAGCAGGTCTGATGGGGTCAGCGTCAGCGCGGGCGGGTGATCGCATTGAGCACGATTGGTGCTTCTCAGGGTATTCCCAGGGTAGTCCTCTTCCTCGGTCATCCTCCTTCATGCTCCTCCTTTTCCTCATGCTCATCCTCGTGCTCCTCGCCTTGTTCACCTGCCACCACCTCCTCTACTTCCACTGTGCGCAGTTCCCATTTCTGCTTTCGCATGGCACGATGCGGTCATTTGGGGGCTTCCATGTGTGTTCTGACACCCGTCGGTGGGTATAAACATGTAAATTGGAAGGTATAGGTGAGAGCGGTCGGTTCTCTGATATGGCTCGAGCGCGCTTATGGCAACATGAGAACTACTTCCTTCTCGTTCCGGATGTTCTTTCCCGCCTGTTTGTTTTTTTCTCAAAATGGTGTTGCCGTTAGAGCATTCGTCTCATTTCATTCGGCGCGTTGTTCCCGTTGTTCAGGCAGGCGTTCTCGGCACAGCGCGGGCCAATTGTTTTAGCAGTCTGTCCTTGTCGTTGTCGCCACCTCTTTTCCACTCCCCGGCCTTCCCCTAGGCCTCTTGCTTATTTTGGCTCTGCTCCTGCTGATCCTCCACCTGACTTCCTCATCCTTCTCATCTTCCTCGTGCTCGTCCTACCCTCCCCCATCATCGGCACTGTCATGACGTGTCCCTTGCTTCTTATTCCTTATTCCCTCTCTCTATCTCTCTCTCTCTCTCTCTTTCTCCCGTCCTCGCTCTCTCTCTCTCATTCTCTTTCTGTCTTTCTGCTTCAATGTTGTTTCTCTCTGTCTCTCTCTCTCTCTCTGGTTCGTGTCTCTTCCTGTCCTGTCTCCCTCCCTCCGTCCCTCTTCGCTCCCTGCCTCCCTTCTCTTTCCTCCCCCCGCCTCCCCCTCCTACTCCCTCCCCCTCATTTTTCTTCTCTTGTTGCCTCCGCCTCCTCCGTCTCCTCCCCGGACGACGAGGCAGCCCTGTGGTTGCAGTGGCGCTACGTGGGAACGGCGGTGGCGAAGATCTCGAGCGATCTCGTCGAGTTGGACGGCAATGCGTTCCGCGAGATCGCCGTGGCCTCGGATGCGATTTAGTGACGAGCGGGCCCCTTTTTCGATGGCTGGGACGCCCGCAGGAGCAGGGGGACTAGGAGGAGAGGGAGGAGGAGATGGAAGAGGAGGAGGAGGAGGAGGCGGAGGAGGAGGAGGAGGAGGAGGAGGAGGAGGAGGAGGAATGGCGGAGCAGGAGGAGCAGGCGGAGGAGGAGCGGAGGAGTGTTGGTCCCCGCCTTCTCTTATTGTACGTATGGTTCAGGTTTTGTTTCGAAATCCCTCGTGGTCCTGACAAGAGGTTCGATGGGCACTGCCTCGCCGCTGCACTGGTGCTGAACATGCAATTGCACCACAGTGCCCTAAACATTCGAACCAGCAAGCATCGCACCCGATGCGCAAAAGCTCACGTGGCTGGCCCACTCATGCAACACACGTATGCAGTGGGGCCTTGCCCCTGAGAGACATGTCCCCCTCTGAACCCCGTTCCCCTTCCCTATCCACACTCGGAAGCCGGGCAAGGGCTGCTAAATCCGTGGCTGCTAAATTCGACCTCCGGGAAGTTGTCTTCGTCCTTCGGGCAAGACGCCCGTTGACTGTTTCGCGTGCCGCGCCTCATTCCGGGAAGTTGTTGTTTCCTTCCGGGAGGGCCGTTGTAGCAGCCACGGTTTTAGCAGCCCTCGCCCAGCTTTCGACACACGCTCCGAGCAAAGGGCCCAGGACGGTGCAGGCGCCGATCTTGGCCTCCGCGCGACTTGCGTGGACAGCGCCCGTGGGGACGGAGCAGGCTCCGTGCATCGGCGGCGAGCGAGGGGGGGGAAGGTGGAGAAGGAGAGAAGGCCCCCTCAGGAGGCGGCGTGGCTTCTCAGAAGCCCTGCTGCCTTCCGAGAGGTCTTCTCTGTCGTCGGGGAGGGCTCAGAAAACCTCTGAGCAGGCTGGGGCTCTTCCGAGCCCTCTGATATCGGGGGTGGACAGAACCCCCAACAGTGACACGTCGATTAGTGAATTGGCCGTTTTCGGTTCTCGAGAGGGCGCCGTGGCCGTTATTTTCCAGGCTTGCGCCCGCCAGGTTTGGGCCCAAAGTCGTTTTCACTAAACCACGTTTTACGAAAGGGAGGTCTGTCCATCCCCGATGATAAGGCCCGCCCCCTCTCGCTCCTCCCCCCCATGGTGCGCCGCCGAGCGTAGTGGGACCGGGCGCCGCGTGGCCGAGGTCCAGGCCGACCTCCCGCAGGCGCAGCGATACGCGAAGGTGCCGCCCGCACGGGCCGGAGGACGGCGGGAGGTTCGATCGGTTGTCCGATCGACCCTTTGAGGGAGGGGAACATAATGCGACATAAGCATAAAAAAGTCGGAGGTCCGCGCGGATGTCTCGGATCGACGCTGGACCCCCCCCTCCCTGGCGCACGGAGCGCGCCAGGGGCGGCGCCGGAGGCGCCGCCGGGGGGCCCCAGCGCCGATCCGAGGTATCCGCGCGGACCTCCGAGTCTTTAGGTTTATGCCACTTTTTGTTCCCCTAATGAGGGAGGAGGATTCCGAGGTGGGGGGCCCCGTCGCATTGAAGAGTCGCCCGTCGGGGACCTCGGCAAGCTGTGGATATGGGCATGGGTACGCATCCAGGTCTGCGTGTGTACAGTGATGTACACGTGTGTGTGGTTGTGTGTGTGTGTACTCACGTGCCCCCCACAGGGCTGGAATCTACCAATATCCACTGCCTGCCGTGGTCCCCGGTCGATCGCCCAGGCGGTGGTCGCCCGCCTCGCGTCGCAAGCCTTTTGGCTGTCCGCTGTCTACAGGAGAATCCGACCTGCGGGGGCCTCAGGAGGCCTCACGGGACCTATGGGGGCCTGGGAGGAGGTGGAGGCTGTTGTTGCGTGGTCCACGGTTCGATCGATGAGGGTAGGGTCGTCCGCGCAGCATCGACACAATGGAGTGCGCGTCCTGGTGGGCGCACTCGCGTGGAGGAGAGGTAAGCGATCCCAGCGATCCGCGCTAGAGGGCAGCGCTGGGTCAGCCAATGATGGGCGGGGAAGGGGTGGGGGGGGAGAAGGTGACAGGGAGCGACGAGGAGGCGGAGAAGTAAGGACGGAGAGGGGAGAGGAGGAGGAGGAGGAGGAGGAGGAGGAGGAGGAGGAGGAGGAGGAGGAGAGGAGGAGGAGGAGGAGGAGGAGGAGGAGGAGGAGGAGGATGGAGGAGGAGGAGGAGGAGGAGGAGGAGGAGGAGGAGGAGGAGGAGGAGGAGTGAGGAGGAGGAGGAGGAGGAGGAGGAGAGGAGGAGAGGAGGAGGAGGAGGAGGAGGGAGGATGGAGGAGGAGGAGGAGGAGGAGGAGGAGGAGGAGGGAGGAGGAGGAGGAGGAGGAGGAGGGGGGAGGAGGGGGGATGGAGGGGGGATGTGGGAGCACGAGGAGAGGGGAGGGATGGAAGGAGCAGGAGTAGGGGGGGGAAGAGCTGGGCTGGGCTGGGATCGGCCGCGGAAGGCAGCGCGAAGCGCCAAAGCACGGCTCCAGGCCTCGTCGCCTGCGGCGGTGATGTCGAAGGGGGGGGCAAACCACACCTTTTGCAAGCCACACCTTTCGAAGTCACCGAACCGAGACGTGCTTCCTCGATGATCAGAACAGGGTAGTTTGAGACAGTGGTAATTGACCTTCGGGGGGGGGAAGGCCCTCGTTGCCACGGCTTGACGCAGCTCGGCCAGTTGGCCCAGAAGTTCGGGGCCGGTCTTCTCCTCGGCGGCGAGCTGCCTTGCCGAGGCTTTTCACATGAGATTCCGCCTCGGAGTGGCCACGAGGCTGCTGGAGGGCGGCTGCATTTTGACCCCGTATTCCTTTCTCGGTCGAGGGCGTCGAGGGCGGCGAAGGCAGAGGCGCCCTGCCGCCAGAAGCGACAACAAATCAGAGGCAACCAGAGATCTGTGGGCTCGGGAAGTGTCGTCGCGGCCCTGCCTGGCTCAGCCGAGGAGTCCCCTTAGAGAGGCCAGGCGCGTGTTCTGGAAGGATCTTGGGGTGGTCGCCCAGGATGGCATGGGAGACGGCTTGGCGTCGTGCACGAAGCCAGTTGGACGTTGTTTCCTGTTTGTTTTCGCATGCTTTGGCGCGTATCGGTCGTTACCCAGGCTAAACCCCTCGGGGGTGGACAGAACCCCCAACAGTGACACGTCGATTAGTGAATTGGCCGTTTTCGGCTCTCGAGAGGGCGCCGTGGCCGTTATTTTCCGGGCTTGCGCCCGCCAGGTTTGGGCCTCGGGTCGTTTTCACGAAACCACGTTTTACTAAAGAGGGGTCTGTCCATCCCCGAACCCCCTCCCCGGGCAGTGAGAACGATCGCACCGCGGGGGTGAACCGGGGGGGGGGAGGAGGAGGAGGAGGAGGAGGAGGAGGAGGAGGAGGAGGAGGAGGAGGAGGAGGAGGAGGATCCCCCCCACACATGTTGGTGCTCGTGCGCGCACGTGGCGATCGCTGCGCACCCCCTCCCCGACGTGCCACGCCCCCGCCCCATAGCTGCCCCTGCCCCGGGCCCCTCCGCCCCGGTAGCGACCGCTGCCGGTAGCAGCAGCAGCAATCTCCAGGGCGCGGGCGTCGTCGAGTCCAGCGGGCGACGCGTGAACCAGCCAAGGCATGTTGTCATTCCTATATCGGGGGTGGACAGACCTCCTACCCTGACACGTCGATTAGTGAATTGTCCGTTTTCGGTTCTCGAGAGGGCGCTGCGGGCGTCATTCTCCAGGTTTGCGCCCGCCAGGTTTGGGCCTCAGGTCGTTTTCACTAAACCACATTTTACTAAAGAGGATTCTGTCCATCCCCGAAATAACAACAAAACCCCAGGGTGCAGGCGTCGTCGAGTCCAGCTGGCGACACGTGGACCAGCCAAGGCATATAGTTGTTCCTATACGACCACCCGTTGGGTGATGATAGGGAGGGCGTGTAGGGGAGAGGAAGCGACTGATGACAACTGCGGTGGGACAGCACCCTGGGTACCAGCGGCGAATCATTGGAACACCATCAAGACACCACTGTGGTCAATGCGTCTACTATTTGCCTATCAGTTTTACTATCCGCCTCGCTATAGGTCTCGCTATCGGTCTCACTATCGATATCGCCTCGATATCACCATCGCTTTCACCATCGATTTCACTATCGTTTCCGAGATCGATCTTCCTATCGATCCCACGATCGATCTCACTATCAGCTTGTCGGTTTTACGATCGATAGCAGCATCTCACGATCGTTCTCAGTATGTATTTGTGGATTCCACTTTTGATCTCACCACCGGTAGCCTTATCAGCATATCAGTCTCTCTATCGAGGGGTCCCACTATGCGTTTCCTGATCGATCCAGCTATCGATCGACCTGAGTATCGATCGGTCTCACTATCCATCGATCTCACTGTCTATCTACCTTTCGATATCGCAGGAATACAGTCGAGACAACCATCGGGGCACCACCGGGACATAATCGGGGCACCACCGGGGCACCACCGGGACACCATCGGGACGCCACCAGGGTACCATCGGGACACCATTGGGACACCGTTGGGACACCATCGGGACACCATTGGGACACCATCGGGACATCGTCGGGACACCGTCGGAACATCATCGGGACACCATCGGGACACCATTCGAACACCACAGACGCACCATCGGGACACCATCGGGACACCATCGGGACACCGTCGGGACATCATCGGGACGCTGTCGGGACACCACCGGGACCCCATCCAAACACAATCGGGACACCATCGGGACACCACCAAGATACCATCGGAACACCATCGGGACACCGCAGGGCACCACGGGGCACCACGGCACACCATCGGGACACCATCGGGGCACCATCGGGACACCATCAGGACACCACCGGGACCATCGGGACATCATCGGGACACCATGGGGACATTATCGGGACACCATCGCGGCTCCATCAGGACACGCACCAATCGGGGCACTACTGGGACCCCGTCGGGTCACCATCGGGAAACCATCGGGACACAATCGGGCCACCGTACCAAGACACCATCGGAACTCCAGTGGGACACCATCGGGTCACCATCGGGACATCATCGGGAAAACATTGAGACACCATCGGGACACCATTTGGACACCATCGGAACACGATCGGAACACCATCGGAACACCACCGGGACACCACGGGGACACCGTCGGGACACCATCAGAACACCATCGGGACACCATCGCGACACCATCAGGGCACCAATCGGGGCACTACCAGCACCCCATCGGGAAACCACGGGGACAGTATCGAGACACCATCGGTCACCACCAAGACACTGTCAGAACACCAGCGGGACACCACCGGGACACCAGCGGGACAGCACCAAGACCCTATCGAAACATCATTTGGATACCGTGGGACACCACGGGACACCACGGTGCACCATCTGGACACCATGGCGTGACATCCCTGGCCATCGCCGGCCAACTGGTTGGCTGGGGCGGTCTCTAAGCTCGGCGGTGCCGTATCCAGAAGAGGGTTCATGCCTCTCGCATGCCAACGCAGCTTGGCCTTGCCCGCATGCGGGACACGGGCACGAAACCGAAGCCGATTTCCTGGTGGGGGTCCACATGTGTTTGCGGTCTCGCCCTCCAAGCTCTAACGTGTAGATGTGAACAAAAACATATATACCTACATAGTTTCAAACATATGTACACATGTATGGGTTATTGTATTATTCTCCATGTACATGCGCGAGCATCTGCCAAAGGAACAAAGTTTTTAGTCTGAGGTGTATTGGGCTCATGCGCCTTAGCTTCTTACATGTAAGCTGCATTGCGCGCGTGCGCAATGTCGTAGCTCACGACGTGCAGAAGGTGACGTGAGGGGAACGGTGGCTTTTTAGCAATCACCTTGGAATGAGCACTCTTGGACCCCCCCGCTCCTATGTGAGACTACCCCTGCCTTCTTAGAGGGCTGTCCCATTGTGTGCGCTGCCAACATAGACACACCAACGGCCCGTGCCGCAGGCAATGTTCCAGTATGCCGTCAAGAACTGCAGGAGGTTCCACGACATGATGCCAGACAGGGTCCCAGCGCACGTGATGGCCAAGGAGTTGCCTGCTCCTCGAAGTACCCGTTGATCTTCACAAGTTTGTCGCAAGAAGTGCGCGTGTTCTTGTGCGCGCGGGGAGCGAGGTAGAGGAAGACAGGAGGGAGGGATGGTCGAAGATCCAGATTTTTTTCTTCTTGGTCGTTGTCGCACAGTGTCGGGGCCACTGGAGGCTCCTGGTGGCCTCTTCCAGAGGTCTCGATGACCTCCCGAGACCCCCAGAGGCCCCGCGAGGGTCAATTTGTGGAGGGGGAGGAGGAGGAGGAGGAGGAGGAGGAGGAGGAGGAGGTTCCAGACATCATGCCCCGTCGGGCCACTGCTCTTTCCTTCTCTCTGACCTCTCGCTGCTTCACGTTATCTGCACCTGTCCGCGGCATACTCTGGTTTGTTCACTCCACTTGAGTCGGCGCTTCCATGTTTTCTCCCTTAGGGACGCAACAGGCCTGGCCTTAATGCCCGCTCCATGTCAAAGATGTTCCAGACGGCGAAGGCGCTCGAGGGAGTGTGCTAGTCTTATGTCGGGCCTGTCCCTCTACAGGGGGAATATTCAAAAATAGCCAAAAAATAGTATGGGGATCATTTTTTAACAATTTTTGACCATTTCGGGAAATTCTTGAGTATGCTTAATTTTTCGTCCAAAATCGGCTTGTAGGGGGACAGGCCCGACTTAGTGCTAGTCACAGTCGGCGGGCCCAGCCCGCATCTGTTGGGCGGTTCCTGTGGCCTCTTCGCCAGGCCCACAGGTTGTCACCACCTCCATGGTCGTGTGGCACCTCCAACGAGGAAAGGCAACCCTTGACCCTGGTGCGCCAGAACCCGGATGTGCCGGCGCCTTTTGGCGAGCGCGTCCTGGGTTTTGACAGTCCGCTTGTCGTGAGATGTTGGCAGCGGGAGCTCGCGTCGAGTTTCAGATTGGGTCTCGTAATTTTAATGATGGCCCCGTCAGGGCAGCCCGACTCCCCCAAACCGAAGTCGTACGTCTCCCCGAGTGGTGGTGGTCACATTGCTGTCGCCAGCACCACCGAGATCGGGTGTCTGCTGTGCGCCACCTGACCGCCTGTCCTGGCAAGGATCCGCGACGAAATACTCATCCCTATCCGTGTCCAGGGAAAAATCTAGCGGGTCGTGCGTAGATGGTTTCGAGGCCCGTGTGCGCCGTTAACAGAAACGTTTGCATGTTTCGCTTGGGAAACGAGCATCTCGCCAAATTCATTGGTTGATTGTTTGGGATTGGGATCGTCGTTCTGATGGGGCGAGAGGAGCAGACGCGGTTACGAAATGGCGCGAGCGTTGGGATTGCGGGAGACGCGGGGCGAGTTTGGGTATACATATTTACACCTTGTTTTCCGGTGGTTTTGCTACGTTAGACATTTCCTGGGCGGGTGACGCGGCACGACGTGTCTTGAGCCCGAACAAAAATATATCCCCAAACCGCTTTGGTGTCATTCGTTGTGAGGTTAAGTCTGAAAATTTGGTAGGTCAGTATTTCGTCGGTTTTCCCCATGGAGGGTTGCTGCGCGGGCTGATCCTCTCCTGTTTGGAGTGGCCAGTGCTCTCGGAGTATGTGTTATTTGGGTGCGCGGCATAGGTCAGGGCTCCAGGCTGACGAGTCTTGAGGCGTTCGTTGCCGACCAGTTGATTGTAGCGACTTCCTCAAACTATTGCCTGTGGGGCGCAGCGGTCTCGCACTGCCAGGCGTCGGCCGCAATGCCGACAGAACCGCGCTGCCGCGGCAGTGACGCATCAGCCACGTCCGCGGTGGGCGGCGAGCGCAAAGGAGCGCTAGTGTGTCACAGATGAGCAAGGGTTTTGCTGATGACGTTTCTAGCGCAGGCTCCAAAGAGGGCAGAGCCAGGTATGCCCGCCCCATCTTTCACGCTCGAAAAACCTAACCTCAAAAAGGCGCGACGCAATGTACTAGTGTATATCTGATGTTCTGGGCATGCGTTGCGTGCGAAATCCTAGTTTGCGCCTCCTCTGCAATGTCTGTCATCGTGGCACTTCCGAGTCGCCCCAGCCCAGACCGCGTTTCGCTTTGCTTCAGCCTTCGCGGGGGCGACATAATGAAGAGGCTCAAGAGGGGGCGACCTTGCAGGGGCGCGCCGGAAATTTTGGAGCACAGCTGTGCCGAAGGTTGTAGATCCCGCTGGACACAACTCACCGCCCACCGCACACCCTCGACCCAACTCGACGGCCCCCATTTGCCCTCCAGATCTAGTAGCGGGGGTGTCGGGGAACATGGAAACCACAGAGATGAAGCCTGCACCCCCCCCCCCAACGGAACTTCGGGTCGTCGGGCTGGGTTGGGATGGCCTGGTGGGTAGTCCGCGAGCTTCCGTCTTCCGGGCAGGTGCGGCGCGCGGCCATTAGCTCGGGTCGGGTCGTACGGGGGGGGGATTCTCGTCCTCCTCCTCCTCCTCCTCCTCGTCCTCCCTCCTCCTCCTCCTCCTCCTCCTCCCTCCTCCTCCTCCTCCTCCTCCTCCTCCTCCTCCTCCTCCTCCTTCTCCTCCTCCCCCTCCTCCTCCTCCCCCCACCGGGCCAGAGCGAACGTGTCGCGGGCCGCTCTCGAGGGCCATCCCGTCGTCGGCCCTGCGCTGACCGACAGCAGCGCGACCAGGGAGTCACCGCAAGGCTGCCATGTGTGGCTGACCGTTTGCGTCGACGGTTGGCGATCGAGGTTGTCACTTGGATATGTTGGCGTTGGGGGGGGCGGGAGCATTTCTCGGTGAGCAGTGGGTATTTGGGTGCCCCAGGGCCCAGCATCTTTCCCAAGCCTTCTCGACGTAACCAGGCCCGGGCATGGGAATCCCTCTCTCATTCGTGCCCCTGCTCATCGTTATTGCCTTCGTGCGTCTGTTGCTCGCCCCACTTGCTGTCCATGCTGAGCGAAGGTCCAGCATGAGCAGGTGGCACGCGTCCACTTCGGACGTGGCCTCATTCGTAGAGAAGTCGAGGCCTGGTGTCTTCTACATAACCAGTATATGTACGCAAGTTGTCAGGTGCTGCACCCGATTGGTTCTGTGGTTGCCCCGTGTGAGAATCACGGTCCTCTTCGGTTTTGGGTGTCCACTTCGAGACTTCCAAGACTCTTGCAGCTCTGCGATTCCTCGACGAGGAAGATCGAAAAAAAGATAGCAGTGCCAATTGGGGAGAGGGTTTGGGCAAGGAGCACGATGAGGAGAGCGGGCGGTCGCCAGGACATCTTTGCGCCGGCATCCGCGTTCTCGCTGAAAGAGTGCGTTCCCCTCCAGAAGAGGCCGCTGGGAGGGAGTGGGACTGGAGGTTTTGAGGCTCAAAGTCTTGGCAGTGGCCCTCGCTGGCCTGAGACTGCGTGGTGGATCCTAGGCTTGCTCGCGCCAGCGCTGATCTGAGACTGGGGAGTGCCGCGTGACGGCGGTGTCCTTCCAGTCTATTTTCGGAGCAGTGTGATTGGCTCGTACCTGTGTCTGCCATTGGACCGCCCCTCCGATTGAAGAGTCTTGCCCCAGGCGTGGAGCGCGAAGTACCCATCGATCTCCGTTGAGCTTGTGTGGCTGAGCGACAGCGGCGTCGTGAGTCGGTCGTTTTCGTTGGCGAAATCGGTGATATCGGTGATCCACTGGTTGGCGACATCGGTGATCCACTGAGTTCTTCCCGAGCGTGCTCTCTTCTCACCACCCACCAGACCACCCCAGCCCAGCCCGAAGGCCTCAATTTGCCGCCCATTTCCGATTTGGGAGGGGGGGGGGCGTCGGGGAAAGCTCAGGAGGCACCTATGGAACCCGCACCCGCCCCCCCCCCCAACCCGAAATTCGGGTCTTCGGGTTGGGTTGGGGTGGTCTGGCAGGTGGTCATCTTCACCATCGTGCTCTCGCCCTGAATGGTCGACTGGACCACGCTCGTGGTTCAGGGTCTTGCTCTCGCCTCGGCGTGGGCTGCGCACTGTCTTTCAGAGCCACGGCCTCTGCTCCCTGCGCTCGCCTCGTGGGGATGCAGGACCGCACTCCCCCTCTTCCCGACCACGCGCAGAGGGGGGCATGGGGAGGGGGGAAGGTTTCTGAGAAGGATGCTGCGTCTTAGAACCGAAGAAGAAACAAAAAACACATAAGCATTAACTTGTGGCTCTCCGCGCGGATTTCTTGGATCCGCGCTGAGCCCCAATGGCTGCGCCTCCGGCGCCGCCCCTGGCGCGCTCCGCGCGCCAGTGAGGGGGTTTCTAGCCCAGATCCAAGGAAACCGCGCGGAGTGCTAAGAGTGTATGTTTATGCCGTGTTTGTTCTTTTTCTGTAGAAGGCATTGGCCTTGTCTGTAGATGCAAGGCCGGCGCATTCTAAGAGGCAGCCCCCTTCTAAGAAGCCTCCCCCCTTCCCCCTGCCTCCTTGTGATCGTCGCCAATCTTCAGCCTCGGCCACACTGGTGCCCCAGAGGTCGGAGTCTCGCATGACCCCACGGCCAAGCCCGCGATGCGGAGCCGTCCTCCTACCGCTACGCTGCGGTTGCGCTCCGCTTCTCAGGGCCGCGATCTGGCCCTGGCGCTGGTGGCATCCGTGGTCCTTCCGCGTTCGTGGTCTCCCCGCAGCACCGCCCACCGTCGTGACTCGGAACCGCTATTGTTCTCTTGGTCTAGCCACGCTTCTTTAGTCAGAGCCAGTTCCCTTTGGAGTCATGCGGGGCCAGTAAGCTGGTTGGGAGGATGTGAAATAGAAGGTTCCACCCATACTTATTACATTGTATTTGGAATGATATCATCCTTTTTGGGGCTGGTGTTCTGCTGGCACTATTGTGGCTTCCGCGGCAGTTGCGTGGATCCACACGCATTGGAAATGGAGGGGGAGGAGGCGGAGGAGGAGGAGGAGGAGGACGCGGAGGAGGACGAGGAGGAGGGTTTGGAACGACTAGGCGCACGCAGCTGCAATGCCACGGTTGGTTGCAGCAATGCTATGCACGCTTGGGGATTCACCGTGATCATGAACCGCGCTTCGGTGGGACAGAGTACAGCTGGCTTGGATGAGGACCAGGAGGGGAAGGAGGAGGAGGAGCAGGAGGAGGAGGAGGAGGAGGAGGAGCAGGAGGGGAAGGAGGAGGAGCAGGTGGGGAAGGAGGATGAGCAGGAGGAGGCGGGGGACTTGGAGGGTGCAGGACGAGGAGGACGAGGCGGAGGAAGGAGGAGGACGAGGCGAGCAGGGCGAGGAGAGGCTGCTCGGGCTCCGCAGAGGCGGGGGCACGCCACACCACTGGGAGGAGGCCCTCCCATGGCTCGTCGCGACGGCGTTTGGTGCCGGCCCTCGTGGCTCCTGCCCCCTGTTGCCCCCGCCCCCCCCCTGGCTCCTGCTCCAGGCCTTCAGGGGCAACGTTGCACGCCAGACGTTGAGAGCAGAGGTGCTTCTGGTCTGGGCCTCCCAGAGGGGGTTCGGTCAGATGGGGTCGGAAGGATCGCCCCGAATCGGCGATGTATCGGCGATGCGGCTCGATGTGGAGCCCGATTTTCTCCACGCCAATGGCGCCGATGCCTTGCCGGCATCGGCGATGCATCACCGATGCGTCGGCGATGTATCGCCAATGCATCGCCGATGCGGCGCGATCCTCCGACCCCATCTACACGGACCCCATCTGGGAGGCCTTTGTTTGGGTTTACAGATTCTGATCTGCTTCAGGCGCCGTCCTACTTGAAGCGTCGGCACGTTTTTGGCTGTGTTTTGCTGCTGTCTGGGCGGGCCCGAGCTCAACATACTTTATCCGCCTTCCTACTTCATGTGTCCACGTACTTCTTCCGACTGCTGGGTGGGGGGGGGGACAGGGGCGGGGGGGGGGCGCATCAAACCCCCAGTGGCTCACTGATCGCCGACCGTGGCCAGGCAGCCCACCCCGTCCAGGAACGTTCGGGGTCGCCTTCGGGGGCCCACCGCTGATCCATCGGCGATGTCTTGCCGAACCGCGCTCGGTGCTTCAGGAGGGGGAAAACACACAGACACACAAATAAACGTCAATCCCCAGGACGAGATCCCCAGGAAAATATTGGAAACGATGGGATGTGGAGGGGACGATGAAACTTCAGAAAAGATTGGAAATCTTGGGAATCCTCAGCCCCTGGATGGGCCCCTTTATCGATGCTCCCCTTCTCCCCGCCGAACGCTGCCCCTCAGAGCCTTCTGTATCGGGACGGCTCCCAAGGCGCCTGGACGAGTGGAAGCCGGCCGCGGAGGACTGGCAGGACAACTGGACCAGCCCCTGGAACGGCTCTGGGCGCTGGGAGGGCCCCGGCCGCAGCCGCCGGAGTGACCGCTGGTGCGGGCCCACTCGGGTCCCTCGATCGACGAGTGTAATGCGATAGTTGCGTCTTGCTCGCTTGGGTCTAGCCCCTCCGCGGCTCCCCGAACGTCGCGCACCAAAAGGTCTCTCCTGCATAGGGTCATTCCTTGCGTGTAGCCGACGCACGATTGGCATGGGTGCGGAGAAACAAATTGTACGAAGTGCGGCGGCATTTTTTGGTAGTTAGCAAGACCTTCGGGGAAGTCATAGAAACATTCCTTAGGAGGCCGGGGGACTTCCAAGCCTTCTGAGAAGGCCCGCCCCTTCTCAGAAGGCTTGGAAGTCCTCGGAACTCTGCATTCACAGTGCATGAAGGTGCGCCAGCGACAGGTAATCGATAAGGAAGCGCCGATCCAGCGTCGTCTTAGCGTCGACCAACGTCGATGAGCGTCGGTTAGCGTCGGTTCCTTTTAGCCAGCAAAACGGCCTTTGGAAGTTCCCATGACTTGCCACAGAAGTGTGTTCCTCCCCCCCCCGGTACGACTGGAATGTGTACAGCCAGCCCGCATAGTAAGATTGGGCAACCTTCCCGAGGGTACCAATGCATCCTTGCCCCTTCGGCCCAACCTTAGCGAGTTTCGCTGGCCAACCTCGTTCGAAGAAAGTTGACATGGGCCTCCAAGGCTCAACTCGGGCCTGTCCCTCTACAGGAGGGATATTCAAGAATGGTCAACACATAGTCTGGGGACGATTTTGGGGGTATTGTTTGACCATATTTGAGCATTGTTTGGAGTCTTTTGCTTTCCACCCAAAATTCACCTGTAGGGGGACATGCCCGACCTAATCCAAGGCCCTTGCAGCCCTTACCACGCATCCCGGGAAGGACGGGCACGAAGACCAACAGCATGCCCTGCGCATTGTGAACAGGACCGGCTGTCGGTGACGTCGCGGACGTCGTCCACGTGAGGCAGGAAACCGCCTGCCCAACAGCGGCCGCTGTCGGTTCGGGACAGCACTTGCCGAGATCCCAGAAGGGGCCGTGCCAATGTGCTTACCACAGACGTTTCATTGTCTATACCCTCTCTCTGAGCTGCCCGATCTCTCTCCCCCTGTTCTCCTTCTCCACTCAGGAGGGGGAAAACACACACGGACACAAGTAATCGCAGATTCCGAGGAAATGTGGGAAGTGGAAGGGGGTCCAGAAATTATGGAAAACACGGGGCATCCTAGGAGTTGTGTCTGTGTATTTGTGTGTCCCTGGGCCCTCTCTCCATTCTTCCACTGTTCCCCAAAGGTGGTCCTGCAATACGGCTGAATGAGAATTGCGAGTGGCCTTGGTGGAATTGATGTATGCCTCTCCTGTGTCCTTTTCACAAAATCTGTTGTCCTCCTCCTCGACTTTCTTCCTCCTCGATGATCCTGGATTCCCCGTCTTTCGTCCATCTCATCAGAGATCCGTCGTGCCTCCTGCCTCTTCACTTCCTCCTCGCTTCTCGCTCCTCCTTCTCCTGCCCATGGCGCTGTAATCCTCTTTGCCCCCCTCGTCCAACTCTTCCTCCGACTCCTCCGTCGTGTCCTTCCCTTCTATTGTTTGTGGGACTCGTCCTCCTCCGTCCTTCCTCGTGCCTCGTCCCTCCTTCAGTGGCCACCATCCATTCTCCCAGTCATCCTCGAACGCCTCCGTCTCCAGTTTGTGCGTAGTCCTCAGTTTTCGTGGCCTTTCCCTCTTCTGCCCTTGCTCTCTTCGCTCTTCCCTTTTAACCGCCGCCCGACTTCTCGGATGAGGGCCAGCTGAGATAACCGCGGTTCAGCAGGCCTAATCCTCCCAAAATTGGTCCTCCTCCTGCTCCGCCTCCGCCTCCTCCTCCTCCTCCTCCTCCTTCCTCCCTCCTCCCTCCTCCTCCTCCTCCTCCTCCTCCTCCTCCTCCTCCTCCTCCCTCCTCCCTCCTCCTCCCCCTCCTCATCCTCCTCCTCCCCCTCCTCCTCCTCCCTCCTCCCCCTCCTCTTCCCCCTCCTCCCCCTCCTCCTCCCCCTCCTCCTCCTCCCCCTCCTCCTCCTCCACAATTACTCAATATGAATACTACTCTCTCCTTCCGCTGATGACGGGTTGGGAGTGTTCGCCCCCCCCCCCCCCCCTCCGCGCGTACTGTTTTTTTACACAGGATTCCCTGGAGTTGGGGTTTCGCTTGCATTTTTTTCAAAATGCTGATCTCGCTGAGGCGCCGGCCTCATTTTCGGGCCCCGCTCGTTCCGAATCGTGCTCCCGCTGCAGCGCTGGTCTCATTTCCGTGCTTTCGCTCGTTCCGAATCGTGCTCCCGCTGCGGCGTTGGCCTCATTTCCGCGCTTCCGCTTGTTCCGAATCGTGTTCCCGCTGCAGCGCTGGCGTCATTTCCCGTGCCATGCCACGGCATGCAATGCAATGCTAGGTTGCGTTCCGCTGCGCGATGCCTTGCCTTGAGCTGAAGCTGTGATATGCAGTGCTTAAGTGCCACGTCGTGCTATGCCATGCTACGCTTTGATCTTCAACGCCATGCTATGCAATGTTATGTTCGGGGCTGCTGTGCGATGCCATGCTTTGCGTTGCAAATCTTTGTGATGCAATCCTTCACTACGCCACGCCACGCTATGCTGTGACATACTACGCTTTGCGGTGCTCTCGCCATGCCATGCCGTGCTCTACAATGCATCGTGTACCCTTTCGGGATCATTGCCCTGCTCGACATCAGACGGTGCGAGTAGAGAGGGGACCTACGCCATGGTAAGGGATGTGAGGGAGGGGTAGGATGTCAGATATGACGCGAGCGCACCTATTTTGTCCTCCTCCCCCTCCTCCCCCCCTCCTCCTCCTCCTCCCCCTCCTCCTCCTCCTCCTCCTCCTCCTCGCCCTCCGACCCCGCCCGGGGTCGCCCAGCAGTGGCGACGACCATCCGATAGGCCCAGAAAGGAAGAGCGAAGCCTCCAGAGGCACCCAAGAGGCCCGAGAGGCATCCAAGAGGTCCAGTTGTCTCGACTGGCCCTCCTCCGAAGCTAGTCTGAAGCCGGGCCTGTCCCTCTACAGGGGGGATCTTCAAGAATAGTCAAAAAATTTGTCCGGGGAGGATTTTTTGATCATTTTTGAACATTTGGGGGGTATTTTTTTGGTTCAGTTTTTTGCATGTTTCGCCCAACATCCCCCTGTAGGGGGACACGCCCGACTTCAAGCTAGTCGCAGGAGGGGCCCTGGACGGCCAGGAGAGAGAGAGAGAGAGCAAGTTGTGGAGCGAGCGGGACGGGGGCTGCAGGCTGCCAGGCCACGCCCACCACTCGCATTCGGTGTGGGCACCCCACAGAAGCTTCCGCCACCGCGTGCTTCCGCATGACAAAATCGGAGTATGCACAAGCGTTCGGCCTTCCTCTCGGATTTCTTGCATCGGCGCTGGGCCTGACGGGGTACAGCGCAGACGGCGCTCAGCCGGAGCGCCAGATCTTGCAGGATCTTGCAAAGCTGGAGTTGGGCTGAGCCAGGTTTGGGATCCACTCGCGGCTCAGGAGGGCCGTGCACGCTGGCTGAGCCGGGTGTGGTGTGCGCTTTGCCGGGACAGTCCACGCCCGACTTGGTGAGGTACGCGTGCCAGGGGAGGGGTAACTCAGCGCGGGCTTCGCTGACGTTGTTTGATCAGTCTATCGTCGCTCTGGCCGCCTTCCGCCCTTCTCCGGGTCCCTCTCCCGGCTCTTCTCAGACGGAGAGGGTGGGCCTGAGGAGGGGAGGAGCGACTCGCACTCGCTGAGCAGCTCCGCGCTCATCTCGACGATGATGACGGAGATGAAGCGCGACGTGCGCGCAGGGGCTGGACGTTGGTGGCCAACAGTTCGGTGGTAGCTCAGAGGAGGAAAAGGTGCCGGTGCAGCTACCCTTGCCCCGTTTTCGCCTGCTGATTCGCCCCGAAGGGTTGGTCGGAACGCACCCCAGCAGAGGTGCGGGAAGTAGCGGTATCGATACCTTTTTCTGTCTCCCCGTATCGGCGGCGAGCGAAGGGAGAAGTGAGGAGGAGAAGACCCATTCCCCAGGCGGCGGGGCTTCTCGGACGCCCTCCAGCCCTCTAAGAAGTTTTGCTGTGTCTTCGGGGATGGTTTAGAACACTGCTCAGGAGGCCGGGGAACTTCTGAGCTTTCTGTCCAGGCCCGCCCCCTCTCACTTCCCCCCCTCTCGGCTGGCCGCCGACCGTAGCGCCCCCGGTATCGGTTTTTGGATGGACTGTTGACGGTGCGCAGCGACAGCTGCATGTGCAGCCCGAAGGGCGGGAGTGACAGCAGCCCCTCAGCCAGAGCACGAGCGCGCTGCACCAGTTGGGCTCGAATTTGAATGTTCTGGGAGGGTGACTGAGGGGAGGCAGTCTAGATCTCCTAAATTTGAATCGGGCGTGTCCCTCTACAGGAGGAAAACTCAAAAATGCGTGACATTCCTCGCACAGAGTCTTTCGCTCGTCTTGAAGGCTTCGTCACCAGGGCCTGTCGGCGGCTCGTGTCTTCGGCGGGTCCAGTTCTTGATTCCAGCCCGGGCCCAGCCTGCGTCCAGCTTGGTTTAAGCATTCGGCGTGAGGCTAGATCCTCAGCTTCGCATGTAGCTCAACTTCGGACGTATGCCGCCTCGTGCAGCTCTCAGTGTCACGATTTGATTCCTGGATGTACCTGTGTTGTCCGTCTTCGTGTGCTTCAGTAAGTCAGCTGTCCGTTTTCCCCCGGGACCACCCACTGGCATGCCATCGTCTGTCGGGCATAGCGGGGTTCCGCATTCTGCAAGACGGGCCCAACTCACAAGCGCAGGAAGCCCAGCCTTCCGGCGGGGATCGCCTGTCACGTATTCACGCAACCGGTGTCTTGTTGTTGAGCGTTGTGAGCCCCCTCTTGCACAGGCTGCCCGGAGGCAGCCTGAGCACCGGCGTCTGCAGCATTTCATGCCGCATCGGCCAGCACAGGCAGGGACGCGGACATAAGTAACTACGACGTTCAGCGGGAGTGCGGGCGTTGGGAGGTCATCATGGTATTCCAGACGCTCTTCTCCCAGAACTTGGCCGAGAAGAGCATCTACAATTGGCCGAGCGACACGGAGAAGGCCAGGCGTTGTTTTCGAATGTGGAAACGGGCAGACGGCGAAATTGATGAGTATACACGAGGATGGTGATCGTTTCCTGACTCATCGTATTGCAGTTCGGCGCGGGCCATCGCACCCCCTTCCCCCCCCCACGGAGTAGATCTTGGGAGTTTTTTGGAGCATGTTCCAAGCAGCTGGAGTCTCCCCCGTGGGGCGCACTGTTGCAAACGGTCGTGCCCAGCAGAGATCCAGAGCCAGAACCCGCCCCCCTGCCCCCCCCCCTTCCCGCCCAATGCCGAAACGCCGAATGCGAATACTTTCTCGATGTGGGCCTTGCTCGGATGGCAGATCTCGGCACGCGCACGGACGCCTGCGCGGATACGTGTTTTTGCGCGGGCCGCCGCCGGCCCCCCGCTGGCGAGGCGCCTCCCTCGTGGCCCGCAGCCTCACACGGGCGTGGCGCCAGCGGGAGAGGCGAACGCTGAGCGCGCCGCCAGGCCTGGCCGGGAGAGGGAGAGGTCGAATCGAAGCGAGAGAAGTTGAGAAAATTCGGAACGGATTGAGAGGCATCGAGACATAGGCTGAGCTAGATCCGGGCCCCGTGTGGAGCTGCACGATCGTGGGGGCAGGCGCGAGGCCAGTTGGCAGCGTCTTAGGTCGAGGAGGTGGGCGGGAGGAGAAAGGATTCGGCTCATAACCCCCAACTTGTTTTTTTGGGGGTTCACTACGTATTTGCGTGTTGTGCACGTTCCACTCAGACTCTTTACTTCCTAGCCTGACGAGATCCAATTGGTCCCGCTAACACGTTCTGTTTCGCTGTCGTCTCGGGATATACTTATCTTGTTTTCGACCAGTGCGAGTGAGGCAAACATTCAATCGCAAATGAGTTGTCATGCTAGCGCCAAAAACCGATAAGTGCAAGTGCGCGCGTAGCAAAGCGCGGTCTGGCACGGCTGGCCTGACATTTGAAGGATGAGCGGCGCAAACGAGGTTTATCGGCCGCACTAGATGGCCTCTGTCAGGAAGCCACGTGTCGTATTGAATGCCGTACAAGGAGAAGTCGTTTAGTCGTGCGTCGGTCCGATTGTCTCGAGCGCTCGTAGCGCTCGCATAAATCAACTCGGACGAGTTACCCAAGAAGCTGTCGCTAGTCCGCCGTCCCAAATACCCGAGAGAATCTGTGCGGCTTCCAATATCGTAGTTGTTGTTAGTTGCTTCCCGTCGGGTTACCTGCGAGTAGGTGTTGTTGTTTGTGTTGGTGTTGCTATTGCGAGTGCTCTTGCTAGTGTGCTGGTGGTTGCTGTTGTTGCTGTTGTTGGTGGTGTTGTTGTTCTTGTGGTTGTTGTTTGTGGTGCTAATGTTGCAAGTGCTGTTGTTGGTGGTGGTGTGGTTGTGGTTGTTGTTGTTGGTGGTGGTGGCGGTTGGTGTGGTTGTTGTGGTTACTGGTACTGTTGTTGTTGTCGTCACTGCTGCTGGTATTGGTTGTTAATGGGTGCTGGTTGTTGGTTGTTGGTTGTTGTTGTGTTTTTTGTTGTTGCTGCTGCTAGGGTTGTCATTGTTGCTTGGTGTTGGTATTGTTGTTGTTGATGTGGCTTCCAGAGATCATTCCAACTTCTCTGGTTCGATTCGATTCGCGTTCGATGGCTTCCTATTCCGATTCAATCGACTTCGGATTTCTGTGTGGGCTCCGATATCTCAATTGAGGTTTACTAGCTTGCCGATTGGAGTGACCTCCGTGCCGCCGATCTGGGGCGCTGTTGATGCTACTGTTGGGATGGACGATGGCGACGACAACGGACGACTAACGGTCGACGAGTGGGATCACTACGACGACGATCTACGAACGGGTCAACGACGACGGTTGACGACGATGACGACGTCGACCACGACGACGACGACCACGACGTTGATGACGACGACGACTGACGGCGAACGGCTGCCGACGGCCGACGACGACGACGACGTCCACGACTGACGGCGAACGGTTGCCGACGGCCGACGACCGACGAATATCGAAGACGCCTACGGCGAATCACCGCCGCCCCCTGCCTGTTTGGAAGCGCCTATGTGGCCGAACGTTGAGGCCAGACCTGCCAAGCTATCGGACCACGTGTTCCCCGAATCGGTTTGGAAAGCCTTCGGGGAACACGTGGGCATCTTGAAGGTCATCTTGGCCGTCTTGGAGGCCTCTTGGGCAAGCTTTGGGCGATCTTTGGGGCTTTTTGGGCCGTCTCGGGCCAGCTTCGAGCCAACTTCGGCCATCTTGGTGGGTTCCTGGCACGTCTGAAGCCGTCGGAAGCCGTTTGGGGGGCCTCTATGGGCCGACTTGGGGCCCGCTTGGAATGCTCCAGGGCCGTCTTGGAGGCCATCTTGGGCGTCTGGGAGGCCATCTTGGGCGTGTTGGAGGCCTCTTGGGCCCTCTTGGGGCCCTCTAGGGGCCATCTTGGAGGCCACTTGGGCCATCATGGGGCTCTCTTGGGGGCCTCTTGGGCGATCTTGGGGGCTTCTTGGGCCGTCTTGAGCCGTCGGAGAGCCGAAAAGGCGCAAATGCCAAAATCCTTCAAAAACCAAGGGAAAATCAATGATTTTGGCCTCTTCGGACTCTCCTGGAGGACCTCTTGGAGGCCTCTTGGGCCGTCTGGGAGGCCTCTGGGGGGCCTCTTGGGCCGTCTTGGGCCGTCTTGGACTCTCTTGGGCCGTTTTGGAGGCCGTCTTGGACCATCTCGGGCGGACTTGGAGGCCATCTTGGGCCATCTTCGCGATTTTTTTAGGATGTCCCGAGCGAAACGGCCGTTTTTGGGCATTGACAGATGGGTTTTATGAGATTTACGGGTGGCCGGCGGGACGGGCCGAAGCCCACTGGGGAGTTCTTTTAGAAAAAGAACCAAAACCAAAACCTGAATCGTCCAGCACGCCGTGCACCCCTGCAAGCAGGGGGCGGCGGATGTAGTAGCCTTCGGCCAATGCCGCCACCGTGCCTTTGTGGTGTCGGAGGGCTCTTCGGTGTTCGTTGGGATCTCGTGGTAGGTCTCTCGGGGGCCTCATGGGTACACTTTTGAGGCATCCTGGGGGCCATTGTGGGGACCCTCGGGGCCTCTTTTGGGCTTCTTGGGGGCCTCCTCTGGGCCTCTTGGGTCCTGCTAGGGGCTCGACATTTTCGTTCGGGTTCCCCGTCTGGCTCCCCTCTTGGAGCTGTCTTGAGTGCCTCTGGGGCCGTCTTGGGGCTCTCTTGGGCCGTCTTGGGGCCATTGTGGGAGCCTCTTGGGCCGTCTTGGGGCGATCTTGGGGGCCTCTGGGGCCGTCTTGGAGCGTCGGGAAGCCAGAAAAGGCGCCATAATCTTTCAAAACCATCGTAACAATTATGATGTTAGTCTCCAAGGGTCCTCTTCTGAGGGCTCTTGGAGGCTTCTTGGGGCGTCTCGGCGGATCTCTTGGGCCGTCTGGAGGTTATTTTCGGCGTCTTGGAGCGCTCTTTGGGCGTCTCGGGGGCTTCTGGGGCTGTCTTGGGGGGTCTTGGGGCCCTCGTGGGCCCGGAAAAGCCCCCCCCGGAAAGCGGACCACAACTCGTCCCCCCGCCCCCCTCACCCTGCTCCCCAGCAGAGCCACCCCGGCCTCCCCCCCAGCAGAGCTGAAGCTCAGGCTCTAGGCTGTAGGCTGTAGCTGAGACTTGTTCAAACTCACACGCCTGACCGGCGGATTTCCGCCGATTCGACTTTTCCCGACTCGGCTGCCGATTTCCGCCGATCCGGTTCATTTCGATCGCCGGTCCGATTTACCGATTCGATTTTGGGCTCTCCTTGGCTTCCTCGTCCTTCACGTCTTCTGCGGGGCCTCTTGGAATCTTCGTGGTGGCCTCGTTGGAGTCTTTTCAAGGGTTTCTGGGGGGCCTCGTGGGGGCATGCGGTTGTTTCCGTAGGCATCATTCTGAAAGGGGGGGCGGGGCCCCCGCGAGTCCCCCCCCCCTTGGGCCCATCTTGGAGCCCTCTTGGGAACTTTTTTTGCCGCATGGAGGCATCATGGGCCGTCTTGGGACCCTCTGGGGCTGTCCCTGGAGCCCCTTTGGTGCTCCTCTTGGGCCGTGGTGGGCTGGTCTGGGGGCGGCTTCGGGGATGCCTGGGGCATGCAGATGCCCAGTGAGGCGAGAGAGCGCGACCTTGTACAACCATTTCTTGTGTCAGTCGATGGCTGATGCCTCCTGGGCGTTCTCTTGGGGTCCTCTTGAGGCGTCTTGGGGGCATCGTGCGCCGTGTGGGGACGGTCTTGGGCCTGCCTCAGGCCGTTCGTGCGTGTTGACGCGTTTCTTCAAGCCGTCTTGGAAGGCATCTGGGATACAGTCGGGGCGCTGAGGAAGGAACCCTTCTCGTTGGGGAGGGGCTCGGTGTTCCTTAGTTGTTTTGCAGTTCGCCTTTGGTTTTGCTTACTTTATTTGTGAATTTAATTGGTTTTAGGGTTTTAACAAATGGTCGCAGCCACGCAGAGGGCGTGCGTAGCGACGCTCCACATGCTCGGTCTCCAGTACTTCTACGTGGCGGCGCCCCCGCAGGCACGCAGAGGGCACGCGTGGCGACGGGGGCGTCGCCACGCAGAGCTTCTAAAGACCAAGCATTTTGAAAACCAATTGTTTCCACGACTAAAGTATGGTTGCGATGGGGAATCGAAGTTCAACTTATGGGAAAAAAGGGGGCCTCGTTCCTTATTCGGGGCTCCTGAGGTCAACGCCCCGACCGTATCCTGGAGGCCGCGGGTGGTGGCGAGCTCGAGGCTCCGAGGCCCCCAGATAGGTGCGTTTGAGCCGCTCGTGGCGGGGGCCGTCGGCTGCCCGCTGCCCAGGAGGGAAAATCACACACACACACAGACACAGTGAATCTTCGATCCCCCAGAAATAATCTGGGAACCTATGGGGATCGGGGGGGAAGACAAGAACCAGGAAAATATAAGAACATTGGGGGGATCTTTTTACTTGTGTGCATTTAATTGCGTGTCCTTGGGCCCCTCCAGATGCGCCTCTTTAAACCCCTGGCGAGGAGCGGGGGTCGGCGGATGCTGACAGGTCCAGCGGAGGCCACGTCGCTCCGGACGCGCAGGTTCGCGGTTGTTCGGCTGGCGGCAGTGCGCGCCCGTCGATGCGCGGTCGAGCAGCGCGCTCTCCAGCAGTGGGCGCCCTCTCTCGCCTCCTCCTGATTCCTCTGGCTACTGCCTCCCCTTCTGCCAGTGAAGGCTTCGTCGGCGTTTCGGGCCGCCACCCCTCCGCTTGCGGCTGGCCCTGAGGAGAGGGATGGAGGGAGATAGGCACACCACACACACACACACACACACACACACACACGCGCACACCCAATCACACACACACACACCACTCACCTCCCCACTCACACACAAGCACGCAACGTGACGGAGGTTGAGGAGAGATTGAGGGCTGACCCCGCTCGAGCCCCGCATGGAGAGACCGTCCAGGCGATGCCTCCTCCCTCCTCGTCCTCCCGTCGTCTCCAAAGGGCCGTCGCGTGCTTTCATAGCGTGCTCGTCAGGACCACTACGAGAAACGCGTCCTCTTCCTGAAGCGGCTGATCATCATGCTAGGGATGTGCCACGTCCCTTCGCCTGGCGTGAAAGACATGACCGGGCAGAATGGGGCAGTAGAGGGAAGGTACAGACAGCAATATAAACAACAAGAGAAGGAGAGATAGACGCAGGCCCCTCCCGTGGCGGGCGGCCCTTCGCCCCCCCGCCATCCCCACCCCTCTCTCGGATCGCCCTTCCCGCCCTGCCTCGCCGCCCCCCCCCGGGGTCTCCCTTCTATTCCCCTCCCATCTCCCTCCCCCCCCCGCCATCCTCACCCCTCTCTTGGATCGCCCCTCCCTCCCCGCCCAACCCCCCACACCCGCCTCCCTTCTCTTCCCCGTGCCAGCCTTTCTCTCTCCTCTTCTCGTCGTTCTCTCCCCCCCCCTGCGTGTTCGCCCCGTTTCTAAGCCCCCATTCTTCCCGGTACAGTCTCTGGCGTTCCTCCCTTGCCCTGTCCCCCATGTCGAGATTGAGCCCTGGGGCAAGGACGTGCTGAACAAACACAGTGGCACTTTCCCTTTGTGGGTGCAGATGTTGTAGTGCTAGTCATGTGCATGTGGATCGGGTGAGGGGTCTCACGGCGCGGTGCTTGTCCTGGGCCTGGACCGTGTCTCTTGAGACGTGTGTTTGAAAGGGAGACGGTTTGCCCAGATGGTGTCTAGATGCTCTCGGGGAGCGTGGAAGTCGCAGAGCGATCGCGGCGATGCGACCAGGACAATATTTGTGAGCGTCTGGACGGAAGCATGCTACCAGCAGGAACGCCGGATTCTTGGGGTTGAGGAGGAGGAGGAGGAGGAGGAGGAGGAGGAGGAGGAGGAGGAGGAGGAGGAGGAGGAGGAGGAGGAGGGGGAGGGGGGGAGGGCAAGCTAGGTGCGCTCGCGTCATATCTGACGTCCTACCCCTCCCTCCCATCCCTTACCATGGCGCTGATTTTCTCTATCCGCGGACGCGTGTCGTAGCGGACCTGTGGCTCCGCGCGCGCGTGCGTAGTGGGTGGTGGTGCACGTGCGTGCGTGCGTGCGTGTGTGCGTGGTTGTCGTGGTGGTGGTGGTGATGGTAGTGGTGGTGGTGGTGGTGGTGGTGGTGGTGGTGGTGGTGGTGGTGGTGGTGGTGGTGGTGGTGGTGGTGGTGCTGGTGGTGGTGGTGCTGGTGCTGGTGGGTGCTGGTGCTGGTGGTGGTGTGGTGGTGGTGGTGGTGGTGCTGGTGCGGTGCGGCGCGGTGGTGGCGGGCGGATGGGCGCGCGAGAAAGAGGCCCGCGCTGGGGCGAGAACGCCATCCTGAACGACGGAGGCCAAACACCGATCCGAAAATGAGGCCCACGCTGCAGCGGGAGCACGATTCGGAACGATTCGGGAGCAGAACTGAGGCCGGCGCCTCAACGAGAGCAGCATTTTGGGAAAAAATGACGCCGGCGCCTCAGCGAGAGTCGTTTCCCGAGATTTCCCGGGCATCCTGCGTGTAAAAAAACAGTACGCGGAGGGTGCGCGGCCATCACCCAGACGCCATCAGGGGAAGAGGGGGAGTATATTCATATTGAGTAATTGTGGAGGGGGAGGGGGAGGGGGAGGAGGAGGAGGAGGAGGAGGAGGAGGAGGAGGAGGAGGAGGAGGAGGAGGAGGAGGAGGAGGAGGACGGGGCGTGCACAGCTCGGGATCTCCACCTCAGAGGCACGCCGCGGCCTTCCTGAGCTGCCACCGTGGCTCGACGAGCCCGGCCCCGCGGCGCAGGTCTCCTGCACGGACGACGACAACAGCACCGAGCTGGATCGCCGCCCCCGCCCCGGTCCCGGCGCCAGCGAGGGGATCGATGTCTTCAGGGGGCCGGAGACGGGGAAACAGCAGACGGGGTAGCAGGAAACGGCCGGTGCGAGGCATCAAATGGCCGTTTTGTTGCAGTGCAGTTGTTTTGTTTGCTTTCGCGTTCGATGCAGCACCTTCCGCACGCTGGCTGCGTTGCACATTTTCGGTTGCTGCACTGTAACTTTTTGTTTTGGGCCCTCTGTTACCCAGTCTGTGAGGCTTGTTTGCAGTTTTCCCGCAACTAGTTGCAGTTTTGCTCGCGTCGCAGAAACATGCAGTGCACTTTTGTTGTTCTGGTCGCTGCAGTTGTGCCACGTGGATCCCATGGTGGGTCTGTTACCCCGTTTAGGCGTTACCCGGTTTAGTGCTCCCCGATATCTTTGTGCTCGTCTAGGTCACCCGCGGGGGCCTCAAGAGCATGGCGCCTTTGCGGTCTGGGCCAGGGCGGTGGCCCTTTCTCCGAGCGGGCGGCGCGAGGGCGCGGAGATAGCCGCGCATCGCGGGACGCACAGCGCATAGCACCTTCAGCCCTATTTCTCTTTGGCCTTCTGCCTCTCCCTCCTCCTCCTCCGCCCTCCTCCTCCCCCTCCTTCGCCCTCCTCCTCCTCCTCCTTCTCCCTCTTCCCTCTCCTCCTCCTCCTCCTCCTCCTCCTCCTCCTCCTCCTCCTCCTCCTCCTCCTCCTCCTCCTCCTCCTCCTCCTCCCTCCTCCTCCTCCTCCCTCCCTCCTCCTCCTCCTCCTCCTCCTCCTCCTCCCTCCCTCCTCCCTCCTCCTCCCTCCTCCTCCTCCTCTCCTCCTCCTCCCTCCTCTCCTCATCCTCCTCCCCCTCATCCTCCTCCCCCTCTTCCTCCTCCTCCTCCTCATCCTCCTCCTCCCTCCTCCTCCCCGTCCTCCTAGCCGTTCCGGCCCCTGGGCGGCGGGGCGGCACCGCGGCGCGACTCGGAGCGGCGCAGCCGGCGGCGGGCCTGCACGGCACGGCACGGCCTGCAGCCGCACCGGCCCCCCCCATGGCGCCAGTCGCGCCCTGACGCGCCGGGAGAGGCGGCGGTCCTCGTCGCGGCCGTGGAGGCAGCGGTCAGTCTTGGCATCGCCCGGACGTGTGCATTCTTCCACCGGCGAGGACCATCGAGGAGCATCCCTGATCAGTCGGCGAAGAAACCACGCACGAAACCGAACAAGAATAGGGAATGTACGTCTGAGTGATGGCGAGGTTAGGGCGGCGGCCAGAGCCCTCGGCCTGGTCGCGGCGGCGCTCGAGGCGCGGCCGCGCCCGACGGCGAAGCCGTCCTCGGCGCCGTCGGCACCGCCATCGGTGCTGCTGGCCTTGGCGACCCTGGCGCCGCCCCCCGGAGGCTGGGAGGTGTCCGGGCCGCCAGCGCGGGCGAGGAGGAGGAGATCATCCAGCCCTGCTCGGGGTTCGGCTGCCCGGCTCTCCTCGAGGATGCGGTCGAGGGGCCGGTCGCGTCAGGCCAAGGAGGAAAAGAAGGACCAAGGAGCACAAAAAGGACCAAGAAGGACAGGGATCTGCGGCCGCCTCTCGACTGGCAAGGAGAGCTGGTGCCTGGCAGGCGAATATAGGATCCAGCAAGCACTCGGGCTGCCTGGTCACGTCGGGGCATGACACTGGCGACGAGAGCGACGACGACGGCCAGCACAGCGACGGCATGTACAAGTTTGGTTACTGCGATGAGATCGAGGATGTGGCGTCCAAGCATGCGATTGAGCCAGCGCCGGACGAGCTGAAACCGAACTTCGATGGCGACGGCCAGGCGACGATCGATGGCGGCGTCCAGGAGGTCGGCGGCCATCACAGCGACGGCATGTACAATATTTGTGAATACGGCGAGATCGCGAATGTGGCATCCGGGCAGCTGGTGGTGCCAACTGCGTGCGAGCGGAAGCCGATCCTCGTAGGCGGCGTCCAGGCGGCGATCGAGGACGACGTCAAGGAGATGGACAATAATGGCGCTGGCGGCCTGGCAAAGGCCGTTGTGGAGGCCAACCAGATGGCCTTTTTCAGAAGGCCGCACTTGCGCTGGAGAGCCGCCTCGCCCAGTGGAGGCTCGAGCATGACGTGCTGGTCGAGTGCGACGGCGAGGAGTTGGGGGGGACTCCGCCCTTGTCCCCCCGTAGGCACGGTGGAGGACGGCGGCGGCGGCAGGGACTCCCAGGTCAGCGAGGACCAGGGGGAGGGGCGTGCGGCACGCGCCGTGAACGGATCGAACACGTTCGGCATCCTGGATGAGGAGGGAGGCGACCTGGAGAACATCGGCGCGTGCAAGGGCGGCGAGGGCCAGGACGTCTGCGAGCGCGGCGCCCGCGAGGAGGCGGCCGAGGAGGAGCCGGAGGGCGTCTGCTCGACGAGCTCCTCGTGACGGGCGGCAAGTTCGTGCGACTTGGCCTACTCGACGGGTCCTTTGTCGAGCGTGTCGAGGAGACGCTTAAGACGGGCTCGCAGGAGTTCAAGCAGGCGTTGGACTGCGGCGGCTTCGTCGGCTGAGGCGGCTCCTAGGGGCGAGAGGCCCCCCCGATGTCCTCGTAGGCCTTTTGGGGGGGCCTGTTGGGCTCCCTGCTTGGGGGCGGGGCCCTTTGGGGCCTTGCGTTTTCCGGGGTAGACCTGGCTGCCCGCCTCCCTTGTTGGGTGTCGCCTAGGAGGACCTCGAAGGCTTCTCGCCCTTGGGGGTCGGGGCGGCGTGCGATCGGCGCGGGCGCGCCCGCGGTGCGGCCGTTGACCGTCGCAGCGTCGCCGCGCGCGAAGGGGGCCCTCGGGCTCCCATATAGTCAGAGAGTCAGAGAGCCCTCCTCCTCCTCCTCCTCCTCCTCCTCCTCCTCCTCCTCCTCCTCCTCCTCCTCCTCCTCCTCCTCCTCCTCCTCCTCCTCCTCCTCCTCCTCCTCCTCCTCCTCCTCTCAAGCCCTTCTGGCTCAGGCCTTTGTGCTGTGCCAGGAACACCGTCTGCTGTACCAATTTTTTGTGCAGGCTTGAGCGCCTCAGCCTGCTGAGGTGAAAGGACGGTACCATCACGTCTCAGCCATGGTGCCTCCTCCTCCGCCGCCCGTGGATCCTGGCGCTGCTGGGGACGCTCGTCGCGTCCGCTTCGGCGACGGGACCTCCCCAGGTTCTGGCAAAGGCGGTGGGATTGGAGGCAAGGGCGGCAAGGAGGGCGCTCCCAGCATTGTCGGAGGCGTCTCATGGGGCACCTACGGCCGCTGGACCTGTGTCACTTGTGGCTGCCGCAAGAATCGCCCTTCTTGGTGGTTCTGCAAGCATTGCAAGACGAGCCGCAGCGAGGTGGATGCCGCCGAGCCCCCAGTTCCTCAGGGACAATGGCAAGCTGGAGCACCCCCTCGGCTTCCCCTTCGGTCTGGACCTCAGTTCTCTCTTGGGCCCGAGTCGGGACCACAACGGGGACAACCAGCTGAGGGCGCGTCCAAGGGTGCGCCAACCACCACGTCGGACCTGGAGAAGCTGGTCTACATGCTGGAGCAAGTGGGCGACATTGACGCAGCCGCTCGCCACCGTGCTGTTCTTCAGCAGCGCAAGGAGCAGGAGGCCCCCGTCATCCCGCTTTCACAGAAGGACTCCAGAGCTTTTGGCGAACTACGTAGTCTACGCGAGAAAACGGAACAACATGCAACGTCTATGACAAGATGGTGGAAGACGTGGCCAAGCAGAAGGACAAGATTCGGGAGCTCTCCTCCGAGCTCACGGCTGCCGCGGCCACTCACACCAAACTGGTCCAGGAGCTCCACGCGCAAGTGTCTGCTGCACCAGTGTTACTCGACATTTCTTCTATTCTGGAGGGCAAAGCTGAGGACATACCGATCAGCATCGACAGCCTGCTCAAGCATCAGTCGGACTACAAACTGGAGCCTGAGGAGGTCGAAGAGGCCGAGAAAAGAGCCACTCAGCTTAAGGGCGAGCTCCAGACAGCTGCGCGGGCCCTGTTCGGCGAGGCCATGCAGAAAGTCAAGCAGTTTCAGCAAGATCAATCGGAGTTGTTCAAGAGGGCCGAGGCCAAGCGCAGACGCACCGAGGAGGAGGGAGAGGGCGAGAGGGCCAGGCCAAGGGCGGAGAAGGCGATGCGCCTGCCGCAACGGCGGCCCCGCCCAGCTCGGCTGCGGCTTCTGCGGCCCCTGCTGCTCCTCCTGCTGCCGCCGTGCAAGTTCCAGATGGGGTGCATGGAGACGGAGGAGTTTGTGAGCGTGTAGCTCGGATCTTCCCGGACCCCCTGCCGTCTGCGCTCCCAAAGGCGCAGGACAACCCTTCGACACTTTGACGAGGCACCACGTCGAGTGAGCACTTCTGAGCCCCTGCGTAAGAGGAGATTTGCGCTGCACTCACTCTCTTCGCCTGGCGGGCCAAGTTTTTGTGCCCCAGTGAAGTTTCAGCCCCCTGTGGTCCTTGGGGTGAAATTAGGTGGCCCGGGGGCGCCGTTGTGGAACACTCTACTTGGACCCAGGCCTATCCCTCTTGCGAGCCCCCTGCTGTGTCCAACAGTAATGTCCGTGCTGGCCGTCCCAGTAGGAGAGGGCTGATTTCAGCGGTGAAGGACGCCCTCGCTAGATGCCAGGGACTCCTTCGCCAAGGTTTTGAACTTTTTGTGAGCTCCCTTGGAGCCGATCCCGCCCCTTTGATCACCTCGTCGGGAACCCTTCGCACCCTTCGAGAGCCCCTTTCGGGAGCCCGGCAAAAGCTCACCCAAGGGGTCACAGTTGTTTCTAAGTTTTTAAATGCTCAGGATACGCGAGTTTATGCTCCCACCATGGAAATGTCTGTGTGCGCGTCTAGGGTTAGGGACCTCACGGGCCCTAGGCAGCCTCCTGGTGGTAAGCACTCTGGGACCGCTCTCCTCGAGCCCATGGATCCTGATCAGTTCCCTGCCGACGCGTTCCAGCCCATCGTGGAAACGTGCAACGTGTCAGGGTGGGGCTCTGCACAGCGCTGGCTGCAGCGGACCCCTGCAC